AGTGGCGCTGTGGCTCAAGTGGTAGAGCACTAGCCTTGAGCTGAAGAGCTGAGGGACAGCGCCCAGGCCCAGAGTTCAGGCCCCACGACCGGACCCCAAAAAAAAAAACAAAAAAAAAACAAACATGACATCGTAGTCTTTGGTGTGTGCTGAATGTAATATGGAAGCCTAGTTCAGCAGTACCTTCATTGTGTAGGACTGGTACTGCATGTAGTGGATACCCAGTGGCACTAATTGACCTTGGCAAGTTGCCAAGGGAACTATTTCCTCATCTGTAAAACAGCTGCTTTGGGTTTTAATAAACAAGAGACATGTAATGTTTCAGCCCACAGTAAGCACTGAAAAATGTCAGCTCTCACTTGTTTTTTTTTTCTCCTTTAAAGAATTAATTAAATAAATTTATTTACTTATTTGGCAATATTGGATTTTGAATTCAGGGCCTTGTGCTTGCTATGCAAGTACTCTTAACTTGAGCCACATGCCCACCTATCCCTTCCTTTTTTTTTTTTTTTTGCCAGTTGTGGGACTTGAACTCAGGGCCTGAGTGCTGTTGCCCCTGAGCATCTTTGTACTCAAGTCTAGTGTTCTACCAATTAAGCTACAACTCCACTTGTGATATTTTGATTTATTAATTGGAGATAAGGGTCTCATGGGGACTTTTCTGAGCCAGCCAACTTCAAACTGCAATTCTCAGATCTCAACTTCCTGAGTAGCTAGGATTACAAGTTTGAGCTACTGTTGCCTGGCTCTTCCTATTTTTAACCAATAATACAAGACACAAAATGAGATTTTTAAACAGCTTTGTTGAAATATAATTCACATTCCATATAATTCACTCAAAAATAAGGAAGTTTGGACTTAAAGATTTGTAGAAGAAATTTCATTTAGTGTCACTTTGTGTCTTCAGATAATGTCCTGGTCCCCATGACATTGTCCCCTCTTTCTATATCCCCAGCTCCTCACTGGGTACCTTTACATAGCTTTACCTTTACTCTATACATTTAGGCACATATGCCTTCAAGTTGAGATATGCCTTTTTTGTTTAAAAGGAAGAATCAACAATGCTTGAAATGCAATGAAGGGAAAGTTGGCAACTTTGGGAATAAGTCTTAGTCATTAATAATTAAATAATTGGTAATATCATATTATGAGATGAATTTTAATTGTTTAATAATTATATCCTGCACCCCAGTTAGAATGGCTATAATCAAGAACTCTAATAACAGATGCTGGAGGGGATGTGGACAGAAGGGAACCTTACTGCATTGTTGGTGGGAGTTTAAACTTGTTCAACCACTTTGGAAAGTAGTATGGAGGTTCCTCAAAAGACTTCACATAGAGCTCCCCTGTGACCCAGCAATCCCACTATTGGTCATTTACCCAAATTATCACAAACAAGACCACACTAAAGCTACCAGCACAACTATGTTTATTGCAGCATTATTTACCATAGCTAAGATATGGAACCAACCCAGATGCCCCTCAGTAGATGAATGGATCAAGAAATGTGGTATATATACACAATGGAATTCTATGCCTCCATCAGAAAGAATGACATTGCCCCATTTGTTAGGAAATGGAAAGACTTGGAAAAATTCTATTAAGTGAAGTAAGCCAGGCCCAAAGAAACATAGGTCTCATGGTTTCCCTTATTTGCAAATAACTAGTATATGTCTGAGACAAACAGAAACTGTCAGACAAGTTGATGATAGGCAAAATGAACCCCAAGATAAGGATTCAAATGTTTTTTTTTCTTTCTTGCGATTGTTTCCAACATATTTATAAGACAATTTCTTTGTTGCTTTGTATGTACCTCCCCCAGGGTATAAGCCCTGCTTTCACTGTATTTGATGCTGATATAGTTTGTGGAGGGGAAGGGAAAAAACAAACTATTTAAATAGGATTACAGATGGACCCATTACAACAATGAGATGTACAAGACGTTATGTCGAAAAACAAACTTTACAACTTTGGCTGGGTGGGGTGGTGGTGTTGGTAGGGGGGGTTGGGGTGGGGGATGGAGAGGGGAAGGGATTGTATGGGGAAACAAAGAAGGAGGCAACAATGCTTGATAAGAAATGTACTCACTATCTTGCCCATGTAATTGTAACCCCTCTGTATGGTATTTTCACAATATTAAAAAAAGAAAAAATAATAATAATTATATCCTGTTAACAGTAATAATTGGCAAGACTCAGAGACACGTAGCAGAGATGGGGACATAATTTCAGTTGTGGCTTTTCCATAGGACCTGTTGCCATGTCCCACCAGTCTTGGAGCTACCTGAGTGAGAAAGGGGACAGTCCCAGTGAAACCCCAGGAAATGGACCCCCTAGCCTGGCTCACCCCAGCCTGGAGACCTTCACCCCAGAGGAGTTGCTACAGCAGATGAAAGAGCTCCTGGCTGAGAACCATCAGCTCAAAGGTGAGCAAGGCTGCCAGCCCATGAGCTTTGCTTAGGGGCCTCCTGGGAATCAGCTCCTGGGGGAGCTCACAGTCTGTATCTCTGGAGAGGAAGCAGTATGGGGTGACTTTCTGCAGAGCTAAAGTGCTTTTAATTCCTTATTTCTGGATGTAGGTAAAGTATAAAAAGTTTATGTCTACAGGCTGGAGATGGAACTCAGTGAGAGAGCAGTTGCCTAGGATGGGGGAGGCCAATGAGAGAGGGATTATTCTGTCTCAGGGAAATAGCATAAGGACAGTCTATCTGAGAGGAAAAGAAAGAAAAAGTTTTGCTGTGAATACAGATAGTCCTGAATATTACCTCCTGAGCAAAAGCACAGAAAGGGAGTGGCATATGGCTGAGATCACAAGATCAAGCTCCGTCCTTCTGGTGTGTGACTCCCTCACTCCGGATTCTCTTCCTCACAGAAGCCATGAAGCTAAACAATCAGGCTATGAAAGGGAGATTTGAGGAGCTTTCAGCCTGGACAGAGAAACAGAAGGAGGAGCGTCAACTGTTTGAGATACAGTACAAAGAAGTGAAAGAACGCTTGATGGCCATGAGTCATGAAAATGAGAAATTGAAGGAAGAACTTGGAAAGCTGAAGGGGAAACCGGAGAGGCCATTTGAGGTGAGCAGACTGATCAACTGTGATTTTACTTTCTAATATTAGCTGTCCAATCTTACTTGTCTAGGCTCCTTGATCAGTACCTTTCGCGATTCAGACAGGACTGGTATTTTGCAGTCTTGAAAGCAGTGTTTTTGCTGAAAAGAGTGGTTGCAATTTTAACAATCATTACCTCCACTGGAAGAAATTTGTAAGGCTTTAACCATATTGACCATAGTAATTTTGTGGCAATCTGCTTATGGTTTTTCTAGAAGGCTCTTGAGAGAAGTTGAAATTAAAACAAACACTGGAATTCTGGGCAATTACTTTCAAGGCAGTTGATCAGTGGACCCAAGTTCCAAGCAAGACTCCCTGGAAGAAGGAAACCTAGGAAGAAGAGAATAACAGCTCTTGAACCCTTGACCTTCAGCCTCTCACACCCAGCTCTACTTCCTTGATCCACCCATTGTTTCTCTGCCTCTCCTTTCCCTTTTACTCTATGGGACTTTTGAATACATTTTTGTACATTTTTTATTGTAAGAATACTGTACAGAGGGGGACAGTTACATGAGCAAGGTAATGAGTACATTTCCTATTGAACATTGTTGCCTCCTCCTTTGTTTTTCTCCAACCATCCCTTCCCTCTCACCTCTACAACTACCCCAAGTTGTAAAGTTCATTTTCAACATAGTGTTTTGTACATATCATTGTTACAATGGGTCAACCTGTATTCTTATTTAAGCATTTTGTTTTCCCTTCCCCTCCCCAAATTAGAGAAGTGTATACACAAGATGCATGGCACCAACATCAAATCCAGTGAAAACAGGGGTTATACTGTGGGGGAGAAACATACAAAGAAACAAAAAAAATCACATGGTACATTGTAAATATGTTAGAAACAATAACAAGAAAGAAAAAAGATATTTGTGTCCCTATCTTGGAGTTCATTTCGCTTAACATCGTCTTATCTGGTCATATATACATAGCTTTTGACCTTTTCTGCTTGTCCTACACATGTACTAGTTATTGTAAATAAGGGAATACATTTTTATGATTTAGTCTTTATCTTCCTTGGTAAAGACTTGGAGCCTCAGACTTTTCACAATTCATGCTGCCCATCCATAGTGCTGTTTGCTACAGATGCTGTCTAGAAAATCTCCCCAAGCCATCAGGGCTTTTCCTGTGTTCTGAGCTACACCCAACAGGAGTAAGGATTTCCCTTGGAGCTTTGCCTTCCCATCCTCAGGGTGAGGTTGAGGCATGAGCACTTCTACCTGATTTCACTGAATTAAGCCTTAAAGTTGTCTCCAGAGTGCCCTTTGTAACTTTCAATTGTGCAAGTAGCAAGGCAAAGGTCATTAGACAGAGTTTCCCTCTGGGATTACAGCTGGTGTTTTAGCCTAGCGTGAGCTTTCCTGGACTGTGGGATGGAAGGCTTTATACACATGAAAAGATAAAGAAATTGTGTTACCCAAAGGGCAGTGGGAAGTGCTCAGATGTGCTAGGTGTTTCTGCTGGGGTTGGAGAAAACATTGGAGAGATGTGCCACAAGAGTTCCAGTCCAGAAAAAGAAGGGAAAGAGTCTCAGTGGTAAGATGAAAGGGAATTTAAAGAGTTAACTGCAAGGTGTTTAAGGCTAAGTAAATGGATTCTCGATTTCCCAAAGTTAATGAAGAATGAGCCTGGTCATCTGAAATTCTAATATGACAGACTTATATCCCTGGTCTTACCGTATTGAAGGTTATATATAAACATTCTAGGTCTAGGAGTGTAGCTCAGTGGAAAAGCCCTTGCCTAGAATGCCTTTGGTTCAAACCTCAGGAACACAGACACAGACACAGACACACACACACACACACACACACACACACACACACACACACACACACACACACACACACACTATAAATGTCTTCAGAGGGGTCAAGAGGGTACAAGAAGTCAATGGTAAAGATTCCTAAAGTGGCATAGTCTTGCTTGTCTACTTCCTAGTTCCAAGTTAAGCTTTAACATTTTCATTCTTTAAATTTGCTTCTTTCATTTGAGTCATTACTGCACAGACTTCTGTCCTTCCTTACAGACCTAATTCTGGGTACACAATGAGTTGTTCTTCTCTGAAGCATGTGATAGTTTGCCAGCAAGAGATAGGTCTGAATAAAGAGAGCCTTATCTCAATAGTGCAAAGGGCAAATCATGTTGAAAGTCAGCACCAGTGTCTCTGTTTTTAATATTTTATGAACTAGCTAGTTTATGATCCAACCATGTGTCTTCCTCATACTAAGATAATGTTATTTAAATTATATGTTTGGAGAATCTGTAGGTGCTAATTGCTCATGCTTTAAATGCGTAAGGGGAATTAAGATGTTTTTTCTTTAATAGCTGATGGCTTTGAGACATTTGTTATTTTCCACTCTCCTTTTAAGATGAAGGCCTGGGAGTTTGTACTGCAATTTTCTGATACTTGCATCTGTTACAGTTTAGAAAGGGAACTGAGGCGTGATGAATATATATAAGCACCATGGAGGTTCATGGGGAAGAACCAGGGTGGTCACTGGAGTAAACTATGGACCATATGGTATCAACATCTTTGCTTCTTGCCCAAGAAGACCAAGCCAGGAACTTCAGGGAGTCTGTTCAAGGTCATTCCCCCAGTTATTAGCAGAATGTAGGCTACATCTGTTCTCCCTACTCCCAGGGGCTTTCTCCTAAAAGCTGGTCTTCTGCAGTGATTGCAACAGGTAAATATAACACATTCCTCACAGTAGCAGAATATAAATGCTTTTTTTTAACTGGTCCTTGGGCTTGAACTCAGTGCCTGGGCACTATCCCTGAGGTTTTGTGCTTAAGGTTAGCACTCTCCCTCTTGAGCCACAGCTTTACTACCAGTCTTTTGTTGGCTAATTAAGAGTCTCACAAAGCCCCAACTGGCTTTGATTCATGATCCTCAGATCTCAACCTTCTGAGTAGCTAGGATTACAGGTATAAACCACCACTGCTTGGCTTAATGCTTGTTATTTCATATTTAGATGGGATGAAATTTTAAGTTTTTCTTGACATTGGTGCCCATCTATGAATTTTAAATTGTGCGTCTCATCTGATTTACTTTTAGCAGAATTAAATTTTCCACAAAGAATATTTACCAGCTGATGTTGAGAGAACTTGAAACCTTTTTTTTTTTTAACTAATACCAAATAGCATCCTTGGTATTTGGATTTCTAACTAGGTTATGTGAGGGAAGAGTGGACATTTGTGGGACAGAGGAAAAATAGGAGCTGGAAGTTATAAGAGCTTTTGTCCTTGTTTTCTGGAATTTTGAACTGTGAATGAATCTACCATTGCCAGTCTGGGCTGTCATTTTCATGATGATTGACTAATTGGTGTGCTGTACAAGTTATGTTAAATTTCTGTTATTTGAATATAACAAAATAATACAATGTTTTTTCCCATTTTATTTTATGGTGCTGGAGATTGAACTCAAGGCTTTATGCATGCTAGGCAAACATTCTACCACTGAGCTACATCCCCAGTCCCCAAATTTCCATTTTAGATGATATATCAGAATAAATTGTCAAATAAGAGCTAGTATCTTCTACTTAAAGCATGAATAAAGGCCAGGTGTGGTGGTGCATGCATGTAACCACACAACTCAGGAGGCTGAGTCAAGAGGTGGACTTGAGGCTGTCCTGGGCTACCATGTGAGATTCTGCCTCAGGGAAAAAAGCATAGGGGACAAAAAGTAAGTTAAGAAATGGCATCATTGTTTGTTAATGGTGTAGATGGCCAAGTCAAGTTTGGCCATTAGGTCCTTAGTTGCCTATTCACTTTACCCCTATCATTTCTAGGACCCCTCCACTGACTTCATACTTCCCAAGGCGGAAGTAGAGCAGGAAGTGCAGCAGCTGAAGACCCAAGTAGCCCGCCTTCAGGCTGAGAAAGCTGACCTGTTGGGCATCGTCTCAGAATTACAGCTTAAGCTCAACTCCAGCACCTCTTCAGAAGATTCCTTCGTTGAAATTAGAGTGACTGTAAGGAGTTAGGGTTGTGTTTCTGCCTTAAGCAAACTACAAAACCTAGTTTGGATAAATGAAACAAATATCATTATTGTATCAACATAGGGAAGCTGAACAGTGAGGAAATTTCTGGGTAGCAGAGATCATTTGGCTTCCCCTCCCTTTTGTTCATTTATTTCTTTGTTTTTAAGACTGCTATGTAGTCCACTGATCCTTTTTGTCTTTTGTAAATCTTTTTTGTGGTCCTGGGGATAGAACCCAGGTTTGCTAGGCAAACACTCTATGCTGACAGCTAAATGTCAGCATTCACTTTCTGAGCAACACTCAGTGTACTAAAAAAACAAAATCAATTACCTTTCATGATCAAAGATGCAATCTTTTTTTTGCTAACTTGTTCTCACAAATTAAATATTTTTATGGCTGACCTAAAGGCAAAAATATAACCAAAAACACTCAAAAAAAAAAACCACAAGCGAACTTTCTGTCAATTTTTTCAAAGCCAATCTCAAAGCTCTGTTGAGCAATTCACTCAGGTAAACAGAACTGTGGTCAAATGGAGTAAAAGAATGTCTCTCAAACACTTGTTTGAATCTACTGAGGAAGTATAGTAATCAAAAAGAGAAAGGTAGAAGAGCTGAGCTGCTCTGGTGGCAGGTTGAGGGGTATCAAGCATTTTTCTCCCCTCTAACAGCTGCTACCCAGGCACCCCTGAGAATGAAGTTTGATGCCATGTCTGTGCAACCCAAAATGAAGTGGGCTAAGTGAGGTGGTATGTGCTGATCTCTAAGTTTTTGTAAAGTGTCTCTTGTAAGTGCATCTGGGTGTTCTGAGCAAAGCAAAGCAGGTGAAAGCGCCTTGTGAGAAGGTCTTTCCTGCTACAAAAATGATTAGACAGTGAAGGAGAAACACACAATCTTCTGACACAGAAACTGTCCTTTACCTTGGCAAGGGACACAGCTGATATAGAAACAGAATCATTGTGAAAGAGCAAAGTGTACTTTAGAGATAAGTCAAGAGGAATAGAAGATAACTTGCAAAAAAAAAAGTGAAACTACTAGCTATGTTTGGAATATACTGTGGGGCTTCCTTCTTCACTTGCTGCACTAAGGATACAGAGAGTTTGAAAATGGCTCTTACTACCCTTGCCAGCTATGTGTCTAATAAATGATAGATTATTAACAGTGGCTTAAGTCTCAAAAGAAATCAAGATTTGAAGCAGACTTTGATGGAATAGCCTGTCTAAAAAGCTACTGGCCAAAGATGCCTGTAACAGAAATTTGAGTGTTTTAGCCCCATGCAAATAACTGATAAAATTCAAGAAGCCCAAACATCACAAGTTTCCAAATGAAGCTTCTTTTCATGGTTGACATCATCTTCTGCCTCCCAGAGGGGTGACTGTTATTGTCAGCATGAATTTTTTGCTTGCCTGGCTTCTGGGAACTAGAGAACACCCCCTATGGTTTAAAGAAGAGCCTACCCAAACATATAGAACCATCTTTGTGTATTTTTGAAGAATTTTCTCCACTAGCTGTCCTGCAAATTTAGTCTCAGCTTTTTTTGTTTCCTAAGTGACCAGTGATGCATGCAAATTTGTAATGGCAGCCAGCTTGACAAAAACATTGCTTTGTAAATCTGGCCTGGAAAACTTTGATTCAGCAAGTTTTAGCATTATTCATTTTAAAGGAACATATAGAAAAGGACTTGTCCCTAGCTAGGTAAGACATTAACCTCTGGAAAGAGGAAACTGATAAGGAGTAAGAGAGGAGGAGATAAGCTTTCATGTTTATGGAGTCCGGTTGAGTGTGCTCAATAAGAGGAGCCTGACCTTCATACCTTAGCCTAGATATTTATAATCCTGACAGAATCTGAAGCTGAACTGAGAGAGTGAATTTCTATTGCATTTCCATGACCCAATTTCATCATTTCACTTTCAAATATTGGGTTGTTTCCCCAGGTGGCATGTCATCAAAATTCTTGATCTTTTGTCTTTTTCCCCTTTTGGATAGTTTGTCTTACAAATACATTAAATCCTTTTCATCTCTGCTTTTATTTTTTTCTTCAGGAAGAAGCAGCAGATGGGACAATAAAAGAAATGAAGAACAGTTCTGGGCCCACTAGAACGGACTCCATTGATATGTATGTGATATAAGATGACAGCTGTCAGGCTGGCAGATGGGGCAGTCTTGTCACTTTGATCCTGTCACTAGATATCAAGCATGATGCGATTAAAAAAAAAATCTTTGAAACTGGGCACTGGTGGCTCATTCCTGTAATCCTAGTTACTCAGGAAGCTGAGGTCTGAGGATCCTGGTTTGAAGCCAGCCCAGGCAGGAAAGTCCACGAGACTCATCTCCAATTGACCACCAAAAAGACAAAAGTGGGACTGTGGCCAAGTGGTAGAGCACCAGACATGAGGCAAAAAACAAAAAGCTAAGAGACATCATATAGAACCTGAGTTCAAGCACCAGTACTGGCACAAAAGGAAAAAAAAGCATTTTGTATTGATTTATTCCAGGACCTTTAAAAAATATTTGGTTTGAGTGGTATTTAATGTTGGAGCCCAAATTGTAAGAGAATAAAAACAATGTCTGATGCCATTCTAGATTTACAAATGCTGACCACTCTGTATAGAGGTACCTAATCTCCATTAAGAGAGAAATGAAAACAAGCTTGTGCTTGTCGAAAGGGATTTGTTCCTAGTCACCAGACCCCACGCTTGCTCATTACCAATGCTGTTTGATTTAGACCAGATGCCCAGCTTCCATAGATGGGGTATGTCTATTTCCTCTTCCCTCTTCATTCCAGATGGCAAGCCAGGAGGTCTGTAACAATCATTAATAGTGCTCTCAGTCACTGGACCTCTCTTTAAGGTGCCCAGGTATCTTATGTGTGGAGCCTCAGTTCAAATAGATACTGGAAAATAGATACCTTAAATAACTGGAGGGTCTATGATGAGGGAGGCAGAGAAGAACTGAGGATCTGAACCTTTTGATTCAGCACTCAACCAGAGGAGGTTGTTAGCTTCTCCTCCATGAGTAACTACTGCATTAGTCCATCTATAAGTTTTCTGAAAGTTTTTCTAGATATTTTCCTTCATATACTTCCCCCTCACCCCAATACTGGGCTTGACTGGTTGCTGTCCTTCAGCTTTTTCATTCAAGACTACTGCTCTACCACTTGAACCTCAGCTCTCTTTCTGGCTTTTTGGTGGTTAATTGGAGATAATTCTCATGAACTTTCCTGCCCTGTCTGGCTTTCTTGAACCATGATCCTTAAATCCTCCTGAGTAGCTAGGATTACAGGTGTGAGCCACCAGCACCCAACACCTCATATATTTTTTTAACGCTTTCTTCTGTAACTTGGTGAATAAGCATACAGAATGATATATAAAAAGTTAAAAAAAAATTAACTCTGTTCCCAAGCCCTCTTACCATGGAGAAAATAAGCATTAGGTAATACTCCATTAGGCAAAGCAGTTGGCAAAAATGAGCTTTACTTCAATTTTTTGTTTGAAATTCTTCATCTTTCTCCAAATTGCTGTTTTTAATAACAAAAGACTTTTCTAGAAGTAGAAGGACAAAAGAAAACTATGTTTGAAATTTGCAAACCACTTCCTCCTCATTCATATCCAATGCAAAGACCACATCCTCTTCTAGGCCACACTGCTGGTTTTAAAAAAATAATAATGGTTCTGTATTGTCTTGAGTATCAAGATCAGAGATGGATTTCAAGGTTTAGAGTTCCAGCTTTGGAGTCCTGATAACTGGGATTTAATCCTGGCTGTTCATTACGTATGTGAGCTCAAGTGGATGGCGGCATCATCATCGTTATCATCATCCCCAAATGCTGATTCTAGGGTGGTTGCTGTGTTTATATTGGTCTCTCATTAAAATGTCTCAATTCTGTCACACTTGCAAATCAAGAAAAATCATTGACTACATTACCAGCATTTCTCTGCTTTATTTGGAACCAAAACAAGTTTTCTTCTCTTAACTTGCAAGTGTGACAGCTTCTGTCAAGTTGGAGAGAGGCAATGGTTTGTTTGAGCCCAGTCCTCTGAGACTAGAGCTCTGGAGAGCCTGGCACCTACCCCCAGCCATGGTTTGTGTGGCTTGTGTGTGTCCATGTGACCATTTGGGGGAAGTGATCTTTGCATCCTCATGTTAGTCCCCACTCCTTCTCAAAAAAGCAAGGAAGAGCTTAGCACTGTGAGTCACAGGACCAGTTGCACTTGGTCAATAGGTGAGAAGTAATTGGAGAATGTTCTAGAAAGTAGCTCCTTTAAATTGGTCTCAGTTCTATTTGGGCTACTCCTAGATTGACATTTAGGTTTTCTGATGAAAGCTTTTGTAACTTTTATAATGACTGTTGTGGTGGTGTCTTAATGTAGGAACAAATCTGTCGAAGGTGCCAGAAACTATGCAGAATTTGAGGAATTAACTGTGAGCCAGCTCCTGCTTTGCCTAAGGGAAGGAAACCAGAAAGTAGAAAGACTTGAAATCGCACTCAAAGAAGCCAAAGAAAGGTATGAAATAGGTATTGTGAAATGTGCATACATTTTTAACAGCTCATGAAGATACCAGAGTTTACTCTTTTCCTTTGTATGTGTGTAGTTCTGGAGTTTGGGTCCACATTTCATTCATTTTTCCTGCTGAATAATGTTGCACTATATGGATATAAAACATTTTACTTTTTCATTCATCATTGGATGCATTCTACTTTTGCCAATTAGGAGTAACACATCAATGAACATTTGTGTACAGAACTTTCCTTGGACATGTGTTTTTAAATATAGTTTGTTGGAATTGCTAAGTCCTATGATAATATCTGAAAGCATTTTCCAAAGTAACAATACCATTTTGCATTCCCACCAGCAGTGTGTGAGTATTCCACTTTCTCTATATCCATTACTGTCACTTTGATTTTAGCCATCCTGGTGGAGAGAATTATTATCTCATTGTAGTTTTGTATTTCACTAAGGAATAACAGTTTTTCATGTTTAAATCTTCTTTGGAGAAATATTTTTCAAATTCTCTACTTTTTATTATTGAGTTCCAAGGGTCTATTTTATATTCTGCATACTAGTCTATATTTTCACTTTTCTTTGGATTGTCTTTTTTCCTGTCTTGTCGTGTCCTTTTTAGCAATACTAGGTTTTGAACTCAGGACATCAAGCCTGTTAGACATTTTGAACTGCTGAGTCACACCTTCAAAATTATCTTTTCACTTTCTGGATCATGTCATTTGCATCCTGAGATGTATATTGGGCTTGAGGCCAGCCTGGTCTATATAATGAGGTCCTGTCTCACACAAACAAATATAGCATAACACCAAACTCATCATAAGACCTATCATTTGTTTTTCTGAAATAAATCAGTCTTCGTCCTTTTCCATTAATCACAGGATTATAAATGTTAGAAGTCTTATTACTCTGAAAAAACATTGAGGTGATAAATGGGGACAGAGAGCCATAGATCTGTCTTTCTGTGGTTGTTTTGCCAAGATTAATATTTCATATAATTTGTGTGTTCTAAATGTACACTGACAACTGTTAAGGGGAAGAAAATTGTGTAGGAAATGTGGTCCAGGAAAATCAAGGAGAAGGCAGGAAAAGAGCTCTGGGTAACAGTTTGTCCTGGGAAATTAAGAGCTTGTGATTCAAAAGTAGGTCAACTTTATATCCTTTAACATGCTCACACTTGTTAAAGGTCTACCTTCCTGCCCCCACCCTCTGATGCTTAATCTTCTTAGCCTAGTCAACGGGAGTGGGGAGGGGCATGCACTGAAGGCCAATTAGGCTTGACAATTTGTAATAGATTCCAATATGGTTTGTTTTATTTTTATTTTATCATCACTAAATTCTTCTTTAAAAATCAGTTTTTGCAAGCTGGGCATGGTGGCCAAGCCTGTCATCACAGCTACTTGGGAGGATTAATATTCAAGTCATCTCCAAGCATAAAAGTTCGAGACTCCATCTCACTCAACAGATGGGTGCAGTGGTGTGTGCTTGCCAGCTACAGAGGAAGTAAAATGGCTGTGCACAGTGGCATGCAACTACCATCCCCAGCAACGTGGGGAAGTACAAGTAGGTTTACAGCCCAGGGTGGGTATGAATTGAGACTCTTCCTCAAAAATAAAGGCAAAATATGGGTCAGAGGAATGGCTTCGGTGGTCAAGTACTTGGCCTAACAAGCATGAGACTCTGAATTCAAACCCTAGTACTGAAAAAAAAAATCAATTGTTCTACAAACTTGCTATGTGGAGGAACAGCTCTTTGACCAGTCCCTAGCCCACATCTACTTTTTCTAGCTCTCCTCTGTTCTTTTCTTTCGGTCAGTCATGGGAGCTGAACTCTGGGCCCAGGCACTGTTCCTCAGCTCTTCAGCTCAAGGCTAGCACTCTACCACTTGAGCCACAGCGCCACTTCCAGATTTTTTTCTGCTTATGTGGTGCTGAGGCATGCGAGGCAAGCGCTCTACCGCTGAGCCACCTTCCCAGACCCTTCTCCTCTGTTCTTAGGGCAGTGTTGTCCAATGCCAGCAGCAATTAAACATCAACTTGAATTTCAGAAAGGACATTTAAACCACAACACATTTTTTCCCATATTCTTTTTCCTAGAGAAAGTCTCTCAATTTCATTGAAACACACTACTGTTCTAGTAGTGTTTTCTTGAAGCATCTTCTCCAGGGGCATTCTTTTCAGAGTCCTGAATTGAAATCATCATAGAATCTTCCTTTGCAATCAGGCTGTAGAATGCCTTCAGCTCTCCTGTGCTTATCACCTGTTCCCATAATTCAGTACTTTTCGGGGTTGGTTTGTTTGTTTGTGGAGTAGAGGCCCTCTCTACAGTCCAGACTGGTCTCCAACTCAAGATCTTCCTGCCTCAGCCTCTAGAGTACTAAAATTACAGGCATGTGTCACCATGCCCAGCACTTTGGGTGCTATTAAAATTCCTTTGTAATGTTACCTTATGTATCTAGGGATACTAATGATAGCCTCCTTCTATACATTCTGCTGATGATAGAAAAAATACCCGTTTTAAAGTTCCCCTCAAATGTCTGGTAGTTTGGGGTGTTTGATGAGGATTAAGAGGCAGGGAAGGTAGGACCCATTTTGAGCTGGTGCTATTCAAGAGGCTGAGAACTGGGTTTCAGAGCCAGCTTGGGAAAACAAATGTGAGTGACCCTTATCTCCATTACTCAGCAAAAAGCTAGAAATGGAGGTATGGCTCAAGTGGTAGTGTCACCATGAGCAGAAAAGCCATGTATGAATCTAAGGACCTGAGATCAAGCCCCAGTACCACCAAAAATGAAGAAGGAGAAGGACAAAGGAGGAAGAAGAGGACGAAGGAAGGAAGGTGGGGGTGGAGGAAAAACAGAAGTCCTTTGAACCTTGGTGAGCATCTGTAGGAATTTCTCTTTGAAGAGGCTCCATGTCTGAAACAGATTGTTTTTTTTCATGATCTAGTCAAAGTCTTCAGAGAATTCAGCCTCTTGCCTGACAGCATTTTTTTCTACATGCCAGGGTTCTTGAAATGGGTTAGAAAAGATGGTTTAAGAGCCTCGGGTGGTTGATGTAAATTCCTTATTTTAAGTAGGAAATGCAACTTTGCCTAATATCTTCAGGTCCAGAACCAATGGACTGGCTTGTCCACTTGCAGTTCCTGACTGGTTACACAATGGACAGGCCAGAGAAATGAAAGAAAACATACTTCACCTAATTACTGTGGAAAACAAGGGCCAGGTGATAATAAATAGGGAGTCAGGCAGGAGATTTTATCATCTTCCAGTGTCTTTATCATCACTTCCAGAGGCATCTGATGTCCCCATTTCCATCTTTTGGGGGTTTCTACTGGGTGAACCAGCTTACATATTGGTTCTCCCTTTTGCTGACCATCAGGATGTATCTTCCTGCAATACTCAGTCTATTCCCACTCATTCCTGTTCATCTCCTCTTCCTCTTTTTGTTCCTGAAGGCACATAGCTGTTCAAGAGTCATTTTCATAGGGCTTGGGGTAGGAGAAAACCTACATGCATGTACTCAGACTCCTATCTTTTCAGCACAGTCTGTGTCACATATGTACTAGGATGGCTTTCCTGCAATTCTGATTCAGTGTAACAGCTATACTACATTTGTTTGTTCAAGGACTAGAATCTTCAGTGGGTCCTCCAAGGACCTTTCCTTCTCTGATGAGTCTTTTGTTGTTGTTGTTTGCTGGGCCTGGGGCTTGAACTCTGGGCCTGGGAGCTGTCCCTGAGCATTTGTGATGAAGGCTAGTGCTTTACCACTTGAGCCACAGCTCTATTTCCAGCTTTTCTGTAGTTTTAGTAGAGATAAGATTCTCACAGACTTTTCTCCCCAGTCTAGCTTCAAACTGTAATCATCAGATCTCAGCCTCCTGAGTAGTTAGGATTACAGGCTTGAGCCACCTGCACCTGGCTTCTGATTATTCATATGAATGGACCTCTACGTTTGTGCAATGCAGAAACAAATTTCAAAAATCATTTCTGATCATCGAGTCACATGAAGACAGACAGTGTTTAAGATGAGTCATTCCTGTCTTTTTTGTTTTGTTTTTTGAGATTGGGTCTCATTATGTAGCCAGGACCTAGCTTTGAACTCACAAATACTTCTGCCTCAGGCTCCTGAGTACTGGGATTATAGGCATGTGCCAGCATATATTCTTGTGTTTTATCCTGTGTGTATCTGTCTATGCCACATCAAGTCTAGTCAATCTTAGGGTAAAAAATATAGCAGTGCTAATATGGTGAAATGTAAAGACCTTTTGGAAACCCCGACTCTTATTCAGGTTTTGAATGGTGTTCCTTTGAAAGTTTATACAACTGTTATCCCTCTTGAAACCAAAGAGAAAGTAACTTTTCTGATTTTGTAATTTTCAGAATTTCAGAATTTGAAAAGAAAGCAGATAATCATTCAGAGACTGAGACGCAGACGGAGGGAAGCACAGAAAAAGAGAATGAAGAGGAGACAGGCACAGAGACTGTGGGTACTAAGATTCCACACCCCAGTAGAGAGAGTATACAGCAGCTGGATTCGAGTTTTGTCATGTGCTGCTTGCTTTGGAATGGTAGAAATGGCATTCATGTTAAATATTCACTATTTTTTCCTTATTTACTTATCCTGAGTTTGAACGTCACTCTGTGTCAATCACAGTGAGATGTATCTTATCTATACAAACAAAAAACATTCCTACATCTCTTCTGGACTGATTTCGTTTCCTAAATCCTAAAATGAACAAACACCCTAAACGTAAAAGGAAATAGGCTTACTTTCTAATGAGATCATTTTGAGGATATGACTTAGAATTGAAAGATCTTTGTTCTATCCAGGATTGGTAGGAACAAATTGGCGTAAAAATAGCAAAACAAATTGGCATAAATATATATTGAGTGTTGTATGGCAACTTAAGAGCTAGGCCTTTGAGCCTGCACAGTTTTAGCTTAGGGAAAGTTAGCAAAGCCAGCCACTTAAGAGAGTCCACAGGATAGGTATTTACATGAAATACCCATTTTAGCTAATTGATTTATTTAACAATATATACATTAAATGTCTACCATTTGGTTTTGGGTTTTGTTTCGTTTTGAGATGGGGTCTTGTTAAGTAGCCAAGGCTAAGAAACTGTCTTCCTCCTTCAGCCTTTCAACAGCTGAGATAACAGCTACAGAACACTATACCCAGCTCCAAGTCTCCTACTTTTAAGACAATGGAGAACATTTAGAAAATAAAGATGAGCTGCACATGGTGTCAGATTCCTGTAATCTCGGCACTCAGGGTACTGAGGCAGGAGGGTCTTCAAGTTGAGGTTAGCCTAAGCTATGTAGCAAGTTCAGACACCGTTTCAAAAATCAAAAAACAAAAACAAAAAATAGAAAAAAGAAAACTTGAGATGAAAAGGCTACCAATATGTAACAGGACCCTAATGATTAAAACCAATTGAACAACCAATAATGAAGTAATGAGGAGTCTAAGACATTATGAAATTCATTTCCAAATTGGAGAGCTGCCAAAATAGTTGTGAAGCTATTAGACTTTATTTTTGAATTTTGTTTTATTTATTAAACTATTAAATTGTGAAACTAATAACTTTTCAAGGCAATATGTTAACCATGCCAGCCTACTCACCAGATAAATAGGGTCATGCTTTCACACCTCCATGCTCTGTGATCATTGAGACATGGAGAGGGTGAGGTAGAAGAGTGACAAATTCATGATCACAAGGGTATCCAGACTGATCAGTTAAAGGCCCATTAGGAAAGAGAATTGTATCCAGAATGTTCCTTTCACCCAGATATTTGAGGTTGTCAGAATTGATTGTTTCTCAATTAGTATTAATTGGATATGAGTGGTTCAGGCTTTTCTCACAGGATTCATTTATCCTCTGATGATAACCACAGATGACTATTGGTCCTTTCCTGTGTGACAGATTGGCAGCGAAGTACAAGCACTGAATCTTCAGTTGACATCCCTGTTTAAGGAGCTTCAAGAAGCTCATATAAAACTCAGTGAAGCTGAGCTCATGAAGAAGAGGCTTCAAGAAAAGTAAGAATGAAAGGTTCCTTGTATTCTCCTTTGAAAAATATACATTCTCACAAAGTATGTGTTAATATGTAAAAACACACCAGCCTAGGAAGTGCAAGGCCCTGAATGCAACCCCAGACAACTGTCAAACCAGATGCCTTTTTTCTGTGCTACTGATTAAAACAAAAAGAGAGACATAAATAAAATGTGAATTCATAAAGCACTAAGGTGTTTTCAGGGTGAAGCATAAGTATAAGTAATATGCTGTATTACAGGCTGTAATATGGGAATGAGGACCACAAAAAACTTAGATTCTAGTAAATTGGCAGCCTATGAGCCAATTCAGAGCTGCAAATGAGATTTCCTGTAAGTGATCAGCTGACAATGTTGATTGGAACAAGAGTTAAAAGAAAGCTAGAAGTGGCTTGGAAGGTGGCTCATTGGTAGAGTTCTTGCCTTGCATGCTTGAGGCCCTGGGTTCTATTCCTCAGCACCACATAGAAAAAACCTGCAAGTGGTGCAATGGCTCAAGTGGTAGAGTGCTAGCCTTCAGCTGAAGAGCTGAGGGACAGCCCACAGACCCAGAGTTCAGGCCCCACGACCAACAAGAAAGAAAGCAAGCTAGAAAGAACATAAAGGAGCTGAATGAGGTGTATTTAGAAAAAAAAAAGCCCATCTCCATCAGTTTTTTTTAAGTCAATTATGAAAACATATGCATTGAGAATTTTCCATTTGCTTACTTCTCTTGATTTATGTTATCCAAGTTGGGCATGATAATATACACTCACAATCCCAGACAAGGGGATCATAAATTTGAGACTAGCTTGGCCTCCATTTTGGAACTTTGTCTCAGGAAAGAGAAAAAAAATATCCAAAGCCATTGAGTTCATTGGCAAGTGCATTTCCAGCCTGGTGTGTAGGTGTATGTATTCTTGGAATTAAACCTTCCAGCACTCTACCATGTGGTAAGTGATACAACACAGTGCTCAAGGGGAAGGACTTGGGACAAAGGACCTAGATTTGAAACCCTGTTGTAACAGCGGATCTGTGGTTGTGGCTGTACTTTGGATGTTGCTATATAGATAATCTGTGGTTGTACCTTGGGCATGTTGTTTATTCTTTCCAAAATTCTGTGTTATCACTTGTAAATTCTCATAATATCTAGACATTTAAATAGTAAGTGAGATATTTAATACACTTGGTATTAATGCCTGGCACATAATTGTATTCTATATAATGCTACTGAAATTCTCAACTTGATCATTAACAGACCTTAGGGGACTTCCTTTCATTTCATTGAATCTTTGTCAGAAGTCCAAGTCTTTGTGTCTGACAGAATTTTTGAAATATAAAAGGTACCCAAGGGTCTATGATATCCATCTACATTAGTTTCTAATGAGATTCATCTTTAGCAAATCACTACTTTGGTCTTCACTTATTTGCATATTAGTATGACTACTTAAGATAATTATTCAAATGTGACACTACTTCATGTCATCTTAGTCCCGTATTTATTTGTGCATAGCCATGGATTATGTCTATGTCTAGAAAAGAAGCAAGGCGAAGCTGGGCACTGGTGGCTCACACCTGTAATCCTAGCTACTCAGGAGGCTGAGATCTGAGGATCACGGTTCAAAGCCAGCCCGGGCAGAAAAGCCCGTGAGACTCTGATCTCCAATAAACCACTAGAAAACTGGAAGTGGCGCTGTGGCTCAAGAGGTAGAGCGCTTGCCTTGAGCTGAAAAGCTGAGGGACAGCGCCCAGGCCCAGAGTTCAAGCCCACTACCGACAAAAAAAAAAAAAGAAAAGAAGCAAGGTGAATACAATATTTTCTATTTCTCCATAAATCTCAGAACACTAAAATTCTTGTATTTTATGAAATCTTAGTAGTTGTGTAAAAGCAATGAAGAAGTAAAATCTTTATCTTTCTTAGGTGTCAGGCCCTTGAAAGGAAATATTCAGCAACCCCACTGGAGCTGAATGAAAAGCAAGAGCTTGTTTATAACAACAAGAAGTTAGAACTCCAAGTGGAAAGCATGCGTTCAGAAATAAAAATGGAACAAGCTAGGACAGAAGATGAAAAGTAAGTTTACCCTGGTGGAATGGACTAGCTTTGTAAATATAGGTTGGAGTTGAAGAACTAAATTCATTTTTTTTTTAATTTTAAAGAGTACTAAGAGACTCTTCCTTTGCAATAATAAAAAATTTATACTTTACCAAAATAAAATTATAAAAAATGATTTGTGGTCTCTATTTTTTTAAATATTACTTTGAGTATAAGAAAATGCATAACATACTGCTATTATTGGTCTTTTTATATAAATATAAATATATATATACATATATATAATTTGAATTTTTGGAAACTTTAGCTGTGCTGTCAACTTTGGAAAAAGTATCCCAGTTTACCGTGTTGAGTTGGCATTGTACAGAAATTAATAGCCATATTGGTCTAGAAATGTTAAACTTAATTTTTTTCTATTTGTACAGGGGTAAACGCACTGTATTAAATATGTAAGGTCTTATCTACGTGGGTTTGATTACAGAAACTAATAAAGTATTCTCTAAATAATAAAAAAAAAAGAAAATGCTAGAAGGTGGTGGAATATTAAAGGTAGAAAGATTTTGCTGTTTTAAGTTTTCAGTTGGTTAGGAGAAAAGATTGTAAATTTCTGTGGTATTTTTTCAAGCTTCTTTTCTTTAATATCTTTTTTAATAGGTCCAAATTAGCTACTCTGCAATCAACATATGGCCAACTTCTCCAAGACTATGATAATGCATTGATAGTAATTGAGCAACTAACAAAAAGCGAGGTATTTATTTTAAAAAATAAAAACAAAAACGTAAAACACTTCTGCGGCCTAGTGGGGAATGGAAACAATGGAACGTTTTATTTATTAAAAATATGCATGATGGGCTGGGAAGGTGGCTCAGTGGTCGAGTGCTTGCCTTGCATGCACGAGGCCCTGGGTTCAACTCCTCAGCACCACATAAGCAGAAAAAGCGGGAAGTGTCACTGTGGCTCAAGTGCTAAAGCCCTAGCCTTGAGCTTAAAGAGCTGAGGGACAGTGCCCAGGCCCAGAGTTCAGGCAAAATAAATAAATAAATATATATGCATGAATACTTAAGTCTGGTTTCAAAAGTTGTTTGCAATTAATTGATTTTTTTTCTCCTTTTGGTCATGGGGCTTGAACTCAGGGCCTGGGCACTGTTGCTGAGCTCTTTTCTTGTTCAAGGCTATAGTGCTCTACCTACCACTTTAAGTAAGCCACAGCTCCACTTCCAGTTTTTGGGTGGTTAATTGAAAATAAGAATCCTATGAGACTTTTCTGCCTCTGGACTGGCTTCAAACCGCAATCCTCAGATGTCAGCCTCTTGAGTAGCTAGGATTATAGGCGTGAGCCACCCAATTTATTGATTTCTATGTAAAAACATGTATAACTTTTCCTGTTCTACATATGCCTATGTGCTTTGTGAGGTGAGGTCATGCTAATAGACTACAGTCAAGGATAGTCTTTGCTGGTTCTCAGCGTAGGTTCACAGGAGAGCTAGGAGCCCTGGCTCCTATGTCAATAGTAAATAATGCACAGTGAGACAACGGGTTAGGGCCAGAGTCGCCATCTGCTGCCTGCAATTGTTCAAGGCCAGCTTCCTGCTGGTAGTGAACTTGAGGCCTTGGATGTATCAGCCTGTGATTTAAATGAATTGTGATGGTGTGATAATTTGTAGACCATGGAAGCTTTGAGTTAGAAAATATCTTTGATTTCTATCCTTATAAAGACACTCTTGGTTGTTTTTTTTAATAGAATCTTTTTTTCTTTCTAGGACCTTAATAGATTTTTAAGTTAAATGTGTTCACAAAGAATAACATATATGGATAAATAACAAGTATCTATGAATTACAACCTCAGCACGGCCAGGGTTTTTACTATTTTGTAATTTCAGTGTTTTTTTTATTTTTAACATTTGAAAGTAGGAAATTACTACTTGTAAATCATAAGTTACATGCGTTACCACTTCTAATTTAATATTTAAATATTAGACCGAATAATTTTTTTAGACCGAATAATTAAAAAAAAAACCTTTACCTGATACTTTGCTAAAATAGGCTACATTATTTCACAACCATTTCTGGAATAATACTGTGGTTCATTTTTTGTATGTTTTCTTGTTTTAAGTGATCCTGAGATGGAAGCCAGGATCTCATGCATGCTAGGCAAGCTCTACCACTCAAGGCAAACTACCAACCCTTTGAATTCTGTTTTTGATAACTTTAGTGAGCCAGACTACCTGTTTTTGATAACTTTGATGAGCCAAACTACCAGCCATTTGACTTTTGTTTTGGGTCACTTTGGTGAGGCTAAACCTGGAACTTGAGCTCTTCCTCACTCCACCTCCTGAGTCACAGGGATTATAAGGGTGTGTCACTGCACTGGGCTTAATATTGTCTCTTTCAGTCAGAGAAAGTGGACAAGGTGTTGCTGCAGGAATTAAATGAGAAACTAGATCTGGCTGAAAGGGCACTGGCTTCCAAGCAACTTCAGATGGATGAGATGAAGCAGATCATTGCCAAACAGGAGGAGGACCTGGAAACCATGGCTGTCCTCCGGGCTCAGGTAAGAGATGTTCTAGAACCCAGGCTAAGTGAAGTCAGCTGCTGTTCAATTCTCAGATTCAAAAGTATTTGAACACACATGGACTTTGATATATATATATATATATGTATGTATGTATAATATATATATGATATATATGTGTGTGTATGTGTATATATATTATATATATTTCAACCAATCACTTAAAAATTTTTGTTAAATTGAAACATGCAAAATGCACGGAAGTTTTAAGTTCACACCTTGGAGAATCTTATCTGTTTCACAATTCATAGGCGGATAACTAGTTCTACCTTACGGCATTGTGACGGACCTTACCCGTGACATTCCTGTGCATGCCTATTGTCTGTGTTCTCATTTTGTCAGCCATACACCTAGGAGTGGTAATGCTGCTTCCCAGGCAGGCAGGCAATTCAGTAGGGAAACAGGTTCTAAACTAGTTGTACCAAGGACACTTCCACCAGCAGACTTTCCATTGCTGAGGGCTACCAACACTTGTACTGTTGATCATTTTAATTTTAACTATTGTTTTTTTTTTTTGGGTCCGGTCGTGGGGCCTGAACTCTGGACCTGGGCGCTGTCCCTCAGCTCTTCAGCTCAAGGCTAGCACTCTATACCACTTGAGCCACAGCGCCACTTCCGGCTTTTTTATTTTTGCTTATGTGGTACTGAGGAATCGAACTGAGGGCCTCAGGCATGCAAGGCAAGTGCTCTACCACTGAGCCACCTTCCCAGCCCCAACTATTCTGATTAAGAGTAAACACTTAACCTCCTCAATCATCAGTGAATACAACTTAACTGAGATAGCATTACATTATGTACTTGAGAATGATTTCTAAAACCATGGTAGTGGGCAGGAGGCTGGCTCAAGTGGTAGAACACTTGCCTAGCAAGCACAAGGGCCTAAATTCAAACCTCAGTGCTGCTATAGATTTTATATAAAACAAATAAAAATAGCAGTTTTACACTGCTGGAACTTTTGCCAAGGTGAAATAACTACCCAACAGAGGACCTTATATAGGTCTGAAAATCAGTCACATCTATTTATCTATTATTATCCTAAATTTATCTTAAGACCAGCATTCTAAACTATACCTGGCAGAGTAAATAAACCATGTACTATGTTGTTAATCCTGAAAAATACTTTCTAAAAGAGGCTAGAGTATTTCACTGAATCAGTGGCACATGAATTGCCTTACCAGTTCTATTAGTGCATTTCTCTCTGTCTCTGTCTTTCTCTCTGTCTCTGTCTCTATCTCTCTCTCTTTGTCTCTTATCTCTCTGAAGCAGGGAATCTGCAGCCATCTCTGAGGTAACTCTCATGCCTTTGTCCTCTAACAGATGGAGGTGTACTGCTCAGACTTCCATGCTGAAAGAGCAGCAAGAGAAAAGATCCATGAAGAGAAAGAACAACTGGCATTACAGCTGGCATTTGTGCTGAAAGAGAATAATGCTTTTGAGGATGGAAGCAGGTGAGGGAAGTGAGGGGGAAGCTTGGAGCACCTCATGGTGGGGCGGGGTGGGGGCGGATTGTAGGTGAGGCACACCCTGTCAAACTGTTTGAGTTTGAGAATCACTTTGCCTACGTATCACTTGTGTGCCTACAGCACATTTACCTTAAACAAAGCTGGACAGATCACTGTGAGAAATTAGACTTAAAATAACACCCAGCTACTCAGGAGGCTGAAATCTGAAGATCACAGTTCAAAGCCAGTAAAGTCCATGAGACTCATCTCCAGTTAACCACCAGAATGCCAGAAGTGGAGCTGTGGCTCAAAGTGATAAAGTGCCAGCTTTGAACAAAAGAACTCAAGAACGGCGCCCAAGCACTGAGTTCAAATCCCATGCTGACAAAAAAAAATTAAAAACACAGAGAATAAAATAACACAATATAACATGTTACCCAGTTTGGAATTGGCTAACAGTTTGTTTTATCCGAATTTTTTTAAAGGGTAAAAAGAAGTTGTAGATCAGTGTAGTCTCTCTTGTTACCCACCATTCATTTCCCTTGTGAAACTAGAAATTTGGTGGGTGACCATCTCTATTATACACACACACACACACACACACACACACACACACACACACACACCTATGTATCTTTAAACAATACCACTGTATATACTGTTGTACAACTTGATTTAACATTGCAATTTTGAATCCTATTGACAGATATTTAATTACTGTCTCTTATAGAACTATGCCTATTTTCTCTAATTGGCTCCCCTACCAGTTATCAGTTCAGTGGTTTCTTAACTGATTTTTAAAAATGAAATGAGTCTCAAGTTCTAATGTTTTTGTTGGTAGTGGTGCTCATCAGACTTGAACTCAGGGCTTGGGTGTTGTCCCTCAGCTTTTTTGCTCAAGGCTGGTGCTCTAGCACTTTGAGCCACAGCGCCACTTCCAATTTTCTAGTGGTTAACTGGAGATAAGAGTCTCATGGAGTTTCCTGCCCCATCTGACTTTGAACTGCAATCCTCATATCTCAGCCCTGAGTAGCTAGGATTATAGGTGTGAGCCACCAGTGCCCAGTGAAGTTCTGGATTTTATGAACCTTGACCTTGTAGTTGCATACTGGTGTTTTGGGTTTTTTTCCATAGTGTTTACTGCGTCCTAATGGGGTATATCTCAGGGTTGTAAGACATCACACAGTGTTGCTTTTCACCCCAGTAGGCAGTCCTTGATGGAAATGCAGAGCCGGCATGGAGCAAGAACAAATGACCCCGACCAGCAGGTCTACCTTGTACAAAGAGGTGAGTCACTTATGAGCCAGGGTTCCAGGGAATAACAAAATCATGCAAAGATACTCAAAACAAGTTCCCTCACACATAGGATGGACTCTTAAGTCACACTACCAAAAGTATAGAGCCCTTTTTGTCCCATACTCCAGTCTTTGTCACTTCCCTGCTAAGGCTTTATCTGCTAGGTAAGGTTTGATCTTAGGCAGCCCCTTCCACTCATCCTAAGCTTCTACTTGCATATATTTATGCAGTGTCTTCCATATTCCCATCTTCTTGTTGTTGCCTCCCAGGGAACTTTCTGCCCATCTCTATGAGTGTCCCTCCTGAACCTTCAAAGCAATTTATCCCTCTGTTAAGAGTTGGTCTGTTTAGTACGCAGTGAGCTTTACATACTGCCTGGTGTTTGCACATAATAATGTTCACAGTTATTGAGAGTTTACTGGGTGCAGGCTCTGTGTGGATCTCTTCTGTAACTCACTGAAGTTTCAAAAGCTTCCATGAGGTATATTTGACCACTTCTTACAGATGCCAGAACTGAAGTTTGACAAGTTTAAGTAGCTCAGACCCCAAGTGCAGGCACTTACTGCATAGTACTGTATATAAGAAGTTATCAACTTAGTCCTGTATATATCCAGATCTTCATTTCCTAAAATAGAGCATGGCAGTTCTTAAAAATATGGTGTAGGGCTGGGAAGGTGGCTCAGTGGTAGAGTGCTTGCCTCGCATGCCTGAGGCCCTGGGTTCGATTCCTCAGCACCACATAAGCAGAAAAAACCGGAAGTGGCACTAAGACTCAAGTGGTAAAATGCTAGCCTTGAGCTGAAGAGCTGAGGGACAGTTCACAGGCCCAGAGTTCAGCCCCCACGACCAGATCCAAAAAAAAAATATATATATATATATATATGGTGTAGTACTTATGGTTTTAAGGCACTAGTAATGTATCGTTTATAATAAATCATTAAAACAGAAAGAATTATCCTTGATTTTAGATATGAAAGATAAAATTCAAAGGTCAATGCCTAGGGTGGCTACAAAATAAAGTTAATGGACACAAGAGCCTAGGCTTACAATACCATCTTGAATTTCATCTTAAAAAGAGAAGGAAAGCTGGGCACACAGGTGGCCCACACCTGTAGTCCTACTCAAGAGGCTTAGATCTGAGAATTGTGGTACAAAGCCCACGCAGGGAAATCTGTGAAACTCTTATCTCCAATTTAGCACCAAAAAGCCAGAAGTAGAGCTGCGTTTCAAGTGGTAGAGTGGTAGCCTTGAATGAAAAAGCTAAGGGACAGCATCCAGGACCTGAGTTCAAACCCCAGTACAGGTACACACACAAAAAGTGCTTTCTAGATGGAACTAAACATTTTATTCCTTCATTCCCAGGGGCTGAGGAGAGGAATTGGCGGCAACCACAGCCACAGAGCATTCCAATTCATTCTTGCCCCAAATGTGGTGAAGTCCTGCCTGACATAGACACGCTACAGATTCATGTCATGGATTGCATCATTTAAAGGTTGCCATTCTCTCTTACCCACCCCGTCCCCCCTCCCCCCCTCAGACTGCTGGTAACATCAGGTTTTCTCCTCCAGGACTTGTACTTCTGCTCCTTTGTGTGTTCTCAAATATTTTTGCCTTGTGCTGCTTCTTTTAGGAGAAAAAAATGTATCTATTCTAAATAGAACACTGTGGATTCCCATAAATTCAGAAAATGGAATCCTCATCACAGCCTTCCGACAATAAAGTTGGTGTTTGCTATGTTCTGTTCATGCCAGTCACTGTTCTGTCCTCACAGGACACCATGTGACAGCTCAAAGAGTCAGGTGGAGAAACTTTACTGATCAGCTTAACACTCTGAAGGAAGCAGGGGAAAATAGGTGATCATGGGTTAATCAAGAAAATGTCTGAAGTTTTTTTAAGTACACTCAGTTAAAATGGATCTTTGGGGGTTCTGTTTGTGTTTCTGTCAGTGTTATGGCTGCAGCTCTTCCTGTGAGCACTGAGCTTTTTGATTCATAGCAGGGCACGTGAACAAATCTGACACATATGACAATGAGCTCACTGGTCTTCCTGGACCCAATCATAGTATTAAGAATTTCACTTCGGCTAGGCATCAGTGTATCACACCTGTAATCCTAGCTACTCAGAAGGCTGAGATCTGAGAATCTTGGTACAAAGCCAGCCCAACTGAACACCAAAAGGCCAGAAGTGAAGGCTCAAGTGGTAGAAGACCTTGAGCAAAAAAAAAAAGCCTAAAGGACAGCACCGAGGCCCTGACTGATACACACACACACACACACACACACACACACACACACACAAAATAATAAAAATAAAAATCAAGTTTCTTTCCATTTATTATTTGAAGTTTCTAGTCTAATTTTTTTTTACTACTTTATACTGGAGAAAATAGACTTCTGTAGTATCCTAAGTAGAGAAGCAAATCAAATGGTTTCACATTTAAATTATTAGGGGAACTTTCATATTGTGTTTAAATAAAAATACCCTGCAGACCCAAACTCTGAAATAACAATGTGAATGGACAGAATAAGCCTGTGACCCAGTTATTTGTTTGCTAGTGGTTAGGATTGCAAATGAACTGGCTTAAATTAAGGCTGCAGAAGAGTTATCTAAATCTCATATCCACTGCAGCAGTTCTCATAGTAGCTCAGATATGGAAGGCAACCTAGGTGTCTGCCATTAGATGAGAAGCTAAAGAAAATGTGGTGTACATACACAATGAAAGTGTATTCAGCCTTAAAAAAAAAAAGAGGGAAATCCTATCATTGGTCACAGCACCGATGAATCTGAAGAATATCCTGTTAAGTGAAATACAGGAGACAAAGCACAATAATACCACATGATCTCACTTACATATGAAATCTCAAAAAGGTGAACTCACATAGGCTGGGGGCTGTTCGCAGAACCTGAGGATAAGTAGTGAAACAGGTGCAGTTTCAGTAAGAAAAAGCTTCCTTCCAATGCACAAAATGATGACTGAAATAATGTATTTTTAAAATTAAGGCTGCTTATTAAAGAATTTATGAAGTCTGTACATGTCTTGTCTCAATTATTGTGTGATATCTCTCTACTTATTTGTCTGAAACTGGGACTCCAACTGACACTTGCTTTCAAAGCTCATTGGCTGGTACTCCAACCCCTGTGTGATTTCTCTTCAAAGGCCTTGTTCCATGTTACCAGTTAACAACACAACATAGGAAATTTGTGCATACCGGGTGAAAACCACTTTGTATGACATCTACCTGTGTTTGACTTTTTATTGCTGTGACTCAATACCTTGTCAGAACAACTGAAAGGAAGAAAAAATTATTTTGGCTCATGATTTCAGAGGTTTTGGTCCATTATGGTAGGAGAGAGTATGGAAGAGCAGATCAGCCTACATCATGTTGGGGGTGGGGAGTGGAGAGTGAGAGAGAGAAGGGAGAGGGGAAGGAGGGAGGGAGCAGGGAAGATGAACAGATGTGAATCTTTGTTTCCTGCCTTTCTAGGTTTGAGAGTTAAGATGTTAAGATATTAGTCTTAACAGTAAGAAAGTGTGGCCCTTTATAATCTTTTGCCCAATAGTCTCACTCTCAGGAATAAGCTAAAAAGAAAATAAGGATACTAAAAGAAAATAAGGTTGAGATGGGAGTATCAGGGTTTGAAGCCAGCCCTGGCAGAAGAGTCCGTGAGTGGCTCAAGTGTCTGGAGTGCCAACCTGGGTGGAAAAACGAAGGGACGGCATCAGGTCCTGAGTACAAGCCGCAGTAACGGCTCAAGCAATCATCTCTTCTGCTCGGACGTGTTTGGAATTACGCAGAAACTAAGCACGATTATGCATTTGGAAACCATGATCATGTACAAACACTATTTTTAGAATGTAAAAACATAAAGAGCCGTCAATTTTACCATAGAATGTTCCTTGAAAAATAAAGTCTCCTGTTAAGAGATTCCCAGCTCGGGCAATGTTACAATTCTCGAGATGGAACGGGCCGGGGGGGGGGGGATGCCATCTTCCCTTCATTGAAGCGACGGCTAGAGCTGGTACACCCGACGGCCAGTTTACGTAGAGTTTGGGGCTTATCAGCTACGAGTCCAAACACCTCGTTAGGGCACAGGAACAGAAGGAAGTGAGACGCTCGGTCGGCGGCTCCCATCGGCGTGGTCACTCACGCCGCAGGAAGCCGGCGGGCCGTGCCCCCACCTCGGGCAAAGTCCGTCCCGCACAGCATCGGGAACCCAATTCTGACCCTGACCAAAACACTGAGGAAGACCGCAATTTCCCAGCGCCAGGGGGTTAACCAGAACCCGGCTTTACCTGCAGAAGCCCACAGATCACCGGCCGGAAGGTCTTGTGCCCTTAACAAAGATGGCGCCCGACGACGTGTGGTTTTGCGCCGGACGGTCACCGCCGAGAGCGCCGGCGTAGCCAATCAGTGCGGCCTTGCGGTCGCGTGCCTCTGACGTCGAGGCAGGGCGGGGTCCCGTTGGAATTTTGGCGGGTTTCGAGGTAGGCTGGGAAGAGGAACCGGCACCAGGTAAGAAGCACCGGCTCTGGAACCGCGGGCGACCCCCGCGTTTTGGTAGGATGCCCTGCAGAGGCCCGAAAACGGGAGGAACCCCCGGGTGGAAGCGATCTGGAGTCGGGCAACAGCAGGGAGGCCTCTAGGGCGTGCGGCGAGGAAGGCGCTGCGGGGTGGCGGCTGGAGAATTGCGGCTTTATTTATCTAAGGGACCAGTTTTGGAGAGTGTGCGTGTGCGTGTGCGCGCGCGAGAGAGTGCCGGACTTGAACTCAGGTCCTTCTGTTCTCGCTTACACTTCTTGCTTAAGGTTGGCGCTCTACCACTTGAGCTTCCTCTTCCGGCATTTTGCTGGTTAAGGCTCACGGCTTTGTCTGCCGGATCCTCAGATCTCAGCTTCTAGAATAGGAGTATAAGCGTGAACCACCGGCTCCCAGCAGCGGGGTTTTTGTTGTTATTTTGTTTTGTCGTTAAAGTGACTCTTTAAAATGTTTGCCATCCGAGCTTATTTCGTAGATGATTTGATGATGGCTACTGAGTCCATAGTTTGTGCAGATCCGGTTTGACTTGCAGTCTAATGAGGATAACAAATAGTGGACGGTACACAATAAAGTAGCAGAAAGGTCAAGGAGAGCCTGCAGAAGGAGGCATGCTCAGATAGGGTGGTCTGGAGAGGCTTTCAAAAATGGTAAACTTATAGAGACTGAAGGAGGACAAGCTTCCCATCATAATCTAAACTTGAGCCGGTTCATGCCTTGTAATCCTAGCTACTCAGGAGACTGAGATCTGAGGTTCGTGATTTGAAGCCACCCCGGGCATGATACTCTTTATTTCCTATAAACGACTCAAAAAAGCCAAAAGTGGCTCAGTGGCTCAAGTGGTAGAACACTGGCCTTGAGCATAAGAAAAAGAAGCTCAGGGATAACACCCAGACCCAGAGTTCAAGCCCCAGGACTGGCCAAAAAATAAAAATAAAAAATCCAAAGCTGAAAGCATCATGGTGGTTCTATAACTTCAAACTAACCTGGCTAGAGCATGGTTCCAAAGTGTAGAATTGGATAGAGGGTCCCAGAGACGATAAAGAAGTAGAGGCACTCCTTTGTAAAATTTGTTCTAAGAGCACTGGAAATTAGTAAGAAATTTCCACTTAGAGACTGCTGCTTCTGATCTGATTTCTGTTCCTGAAAGGTTAGTAAGGAAAGCAAGATTACTGTAACCAGTGTACAGAGAGTAGGCTGCAGGAGGCAGAAACCCAGACAGAAGGCTAAAGTAGTCATCCAGGCTAGAGATAATGGTGACTTGTCCTAACGCTTGGGCAGTCATATTGGAGAGAAATGAAAGATGGGAGCAATATTTTAGAGATAGAACCCATACTGCTTGTCAACTAGCCATGAGTGTGAAGACCAACAGGAGGGCACAAATTAGTTTGGGAGGAAGGCTGGAGTTAGTTATCAAAATGACCCGGGACAGCTTGTCCAACCCCCAGGAAGCTCACACTCCAGCCCATTGTACAGTGTGCATAGGATGGGCCCAAGGAAATGTTTGTTGAATAACTAAAAAGAAATCACTGTAATTAGTATCTTGACATTAGACTTATCAAAGTTACATATATCAGATGGTACATGTAACTTAAATCCCCTTCAATGAAAAAAGGAGGCTGCACAGAATGATAAGACTTTGTCTTACACTGGCTATTCCTCTGTCTGCTAACTAGAATTAAAATCCCAATGGTAGAATTGAGTAGACTCACACACTAAGCTGCTATGGACAAAGTAGACATTGGATGCACTAAAATTTTTTTTTTAAAAAAAGAAAATAGCCTTAAAAGTATTCTAACTATATTGTGAAGCCAAGTAAAAGATACAATTTATTTGCTCTGAGGGAGGGGGAATTGGTGATGGGAGAGTGTGCAAGAAATGTCAGATGAATTCTGAGGTTACAGCCCATCAGATTTGTGAGGTTCTTGATTTGCTGGATATGTGTATTGTGTGAAGAATCAAGAATAAGGATGACTATTCTGATGTTGATTTCACACAGCCACGATTCTAGATTATTCATCTCCCATTGGCTTGGTCCTCCAAACTTGATCACAACTGTTCTGGGCAACATGGATGGTAAGGCCTGCTTATTTAATTTCTCTTTATTTAACAAAAAATTACCAGGTTACCTGTGAACTTGTTAACTCGTTCTGACTCCAAAATAGTGAACATGTTCCCCTACCTGCAGTTATTTTTCTCTG